CTGGAGCCCCGTCGTGTTGGTTATACATATTTTGCCGTACATGGAGAGGCACATCTTCCAAAAGTATGCCTAGGTTATTCTGAAGAAAGTCATGATACCCATCAGCATTCAGGCGGTTGGGTAGGACGACTGGACGACAGGACCAATTAACTGATCCCCTATCATTCCTGCCCATGTATTTACAGAGAAACGATGTTGAAAATTAGAACGTCGGACCACTCTGGGATTATCATTTACCCATACATGGGTGTTGTGCATATTGAACACTCCATTTCTGGTGAAGATGGATTCGTCGCTCCAAAGAATGTTCGATTTGATGTTCTCATTTTCTAAAATCCATTGGCAGAACTGAATCCTGGGCTGAAAATCGCCTGGCAATAAATCCTGCACATGTTGGTAGTGAAATGGATGAATTCTTTGATCTGAAATCAATCAACTGTTATTTCATTGCCAAACTGTGTACTCACATTCCACATTACTGTTGCCCTAGGCACGTTAAAATTTCTGGATACTGTCCTTATACTAATGTTCGGATTATTATCGATGACATTCAGAATATTCTCCATGTTATGTCCTCTTAAAGGTCTTCCTTGCCCAGGAACATGTTGCAAATTGCCATGATCACTCAAGTTTCTATGAGTATTAACGAATACTTGTCGCCCAGGTATTCTTCTGTTCGGAAATCTCCTCCGATATTCTCGCTCAGCCTCTCGTGCATTGATTGCCATTACAAAATCCGTACAAAAAATGTATGTCTGCATATTCCTGATTTGTGAATTGTGGCATTTTGTAACAATACAATGTACATTCAAATATCAATTGCTTAGTGTGTTCTGCAAAACATGCGTGTCAACAAATATGACAACTATCAAAACTAACTGTTACCCTTTTTTTTTCCATAGCCACTAGGATTTGATATTGGCAATATTGTGCGTTATTCTTGAGATTTATTGATCAACATGGAACAAGAGTACCTTTCTTCTGTAAAAATGTTCAGATATTCATAATCCGAGACCAAATCGTCGAAAAAATTGCATACAAAAAAATTAGGGTGATATTTAGAGTAGCTCCACCCTGTTTTAAATACTCATAAATCAAATTTTGAAATCATTTTATCTCCACTGCATTAAGCATGAAAAGTTTATTTCTTTTACCAAATTTCATCATTTTATCTCACGGCGTTTCGGAAATATTCAGGAAATACATCTTCAGAAGCCCCCTTTAAGGTGGCCGTAGCTCCCTTAGGAGCCATTTTGAGACCTATGTTCATTCGAACTTTTCTATCTATTTTCGGTCATAGAAGTCGCTGGTGAAGTTTGGCAGGCTAATTATGGGACACCCTGTATACAGGGTGAATCTAAATAACTCCGAAAAAATTCAAGGGGTGATTCCTAGTGATATTCTAGCAAATAAAGTTCATATAAACATGTATCCTAACTTGCTCCATTTTTGAGATACAGGATGTTGAAGTTGGAAGTATCAATTGTTTTTATTTATAACTTCCCTTTATAAGCTTTTATGGTGCCAAAATTGAGTATGGTTGGAGACTGAGGAAGCCCTAAAATTTCGAAATGATTGTGATTGGGATTATTGCGTAATCTCAATGGAAGTCTTGAAAACACCTACAGTAAAATTTGGGGTCAAATCGAATTTTTATTCTTTCCTCAAAAAATAATCTAGATACTAAAATCACACAAAGAATAAAAAAGGTGTTATTTCAATAGTTCAATCTAATGAAAATATGAAACTCAGAAAACCCCAAGGCATACAAATGACATTCACCATAAATATCCATAAATTTACCTACTGTGACGCTACTGGAAATATTATTTCCAATCAAATTGCACCAGATGAAGTTTCATATAACTATTAACAAAACCACAACGTTTTATTGAAATTGATGGAAAGAAAATTGAGTAATGAATAAAAAAACGATCTTTCATGGAAATTTTGATACCCTGTATCTCGAAAATGAAGCAAGTTAGGACACATGTTTATATGAACTTTATATCCTTAAATATCACAAGGAATCACCCCTTGAATTTTTTCGGTGTTATTCAGATGTTGTGTATATCACACAATGTTGGACACATTTTTTTTATTATGAGTCAACAGAAATATGATTTTCTTGTGAAATTATCCATGTTTAGTGAAAAGAAGAAAGAATATCATTTGAAATAATGGCATGTGTAATGTCATTCCAAAGCAATCTATTGACATTTGACATCTGGTATTTGGATTGCCTATGGATTAAATGGCCTTTTTTATTCATTTTTCCATGGCCATCATCTGGTATGCTTGCTCACTAAATAAGAAAAACTCGCCATAAAAATCATATTTCCTGTTGAATTTTCTAGCTTAAAATGTGTCATTGAAGTCATGAGTGCTTAAAATGTGTCATTGAAGTCATGAGTGCTTAAAATGTGTCATTGAAGTACATCATTAGTATATAAAGTGTCCAATGACAAAATAAAAAGAGCAAGTACAGGGTGATTCACCATAAATTTTCCCCCCCTCTAGCTCACTTATTTTTGAACCGTTTTAAAAATTTGAAAGATAATCTAAAATGATTTTTCAGAAATTTTTTTCCGGTTGCATCAGAAAATACAGGGTGCTCGGAACAAACGATCTACAGAGTACTAATTGATTTTTTTAAATGGAAACACCCTGTATTTTATTGTATTTTTAGATTCTTCCTGAAGAGCTGATTTCATCAATGTATCACACTTGGGGTTTAGCGGAAATGATTTCAGAGATATAGGGTGTTTAAAATCAATCAAGATTTTCCAACTTTAGGATTTTTTTGTGCCGAAACTATTCATTATTGGTCAAAACGGCTTCTATGTTCCCATCTCAACTTTTGATCTACTATCTTGTGAAATGTAATTGGAACATTTACAGGGTGGTTCAAGATTCAGAATTCTGGTCACCCTGTATCTGTTCCAATTATTAAATGTCAGTAGATAGTAAATCAAAAGTTGAGATACGGACATGAAAACCGCGTGACCGATAATGAATAGTTTCGTCACAAAAAAAATCCTAAAGTTAAAAATCTCGATTTTGAACACCCTATATCTCTGTAATCAGTCCCGCTAGACCCCAAGTGTGATACATTGATCAAATCAGCTCTTCAGGGAGAATCTAAAAATACAATGAAAAATAGGGTGTTTCATTTAAAAAAAATCAAATAGTACCCTGTACATCGTTTGTTCCGAGCACCCTGTATTTTCTGATCTAGCGGAAAAAAACTTTATCGAAAATCATTCAAGATGATATTTCAAATTTTAAAATCGGTTCAAAAATAACTGAGCTAGAGGGGGGGACATTTATGGTGAATCACCCTGTACCTATAAATGAATCCAACACAAGAGGGGAAAATAAGGCAAAATTTCGAACTTTTTCTTGAAATATCTTGATAAATAGTGGTTTGTTCACATTTTCATTATCAAATTCGTGTTTTTCAGAAAAAGATGAGTACAAAAAAATTTTTTTTGAAAAAAAAAAACATCACAATCATGATAAATGCAAAATTACCAATAAGGCAAATTTCGAACTTTTTCTTGAAATATCTTGATAAATAGTGGTTTGTTCACATTTTCATTATCAAATTCATGTTTTTCAGACAAAAATACATAAGTACCAAAAAACATTTTTGAAAAAAAACCATTCCATGATAAGTGCAAAATTTTATTCAATATTCCCAGGTGCCAAGTAGTGATGTGAAGGGGGGAACGTTCCATTTGTGCTGTGGGGAACGTTCACAAATGTTTGTGCAACATAAATCAATCATGGGTGCATGATAGAGGGTGCTTTGGCATGAATGAGAATTTTCAGCACAAACAAGAATTTTCAGCACTATCCCCACCAATGAGCACTCTTCATCCCCTTGTATTGCATGTGAATCCCCTTGTTTTGTTTTGGTGGTTCATTGAGGAGTGAAAGCACAGATGCAAAGGTATGTGCATGTTGCATGTGGTTACAGGGAATTATTAGTGTTGTTTTTTTTTTGTTTTTCAATATGCCCGGAAGAAAATGCAATGCATTTGATTTCTTTCTTCATAAAAAACGTAATAGTAAAGACATTTATTCTTGCAAATTTTGTTATTATGAATATAGCCAGCATGCCACACAAATGGCAAATCATCTGATAAAATGTGTGAAATGTCTGGAGGCAGTAAGGAATGAATTGATACTGAAAAACAATAAAATTGTTGTTCCTTTCAAAGATTCTCAAAAAGGAACATCAAAATCAATGGTACTGATTGAACTTCAATGTTTGGAATCCTCCACTCCTTCAGAGACTTCCACAGCTGGTTTAGATCTTGGTAATCAGGTTCAGGGTCTATCATCAAAAAATTCTGAATCAAGAACTCTGAGACTGATGAGTCTGAAGTGGATACCAAGTCCTACAGTGTCCACGATGTGGATACCAGAAAGTTTAAAAGGGGATATTGAAGATTTGGAGGAGATGAAGTAGAGTAGGTTTACAGCTAGTTTATAGGTGGAACATATTACTTCTCAACCTAATATGGTATTTTCAGTAAGTTTCAATATTCAATTGTTACTTGAGTTTTTGCTATTTTTCTACTCAATAAAGGTTTTTTATTATGTTATAGTATAGAAGTTAATCATTACTATTACTGTATTAGTTGTAACACAGAATATTGATACAGCATGTTATTTTTTTATGGAGCATTAGGGGAATTTTAAGCATTTTTAGCATTTTCAGCAATTTGAGAATTTTGAACATATTCAGAAAGAACCACAAAAAGCATGTTTTTGGATACTTTACTACACCTCAAACATAAATTCCCGGGTTTTTTTCATTTATGCTTGTTTATTCTCGTTCATTCTCATTCATGCTGGGGGAACGTTCTCCAAAAATACTTTCTCGAGAATTTTACATCACTAGTGCCAAGCTTTAGCCACTAATATACAAAAAGAATTCTAATACCTACAATCCTCCATCATAATTTCAGTTTGTCATTGCACAGACCCACCTTTTCCTAGATCAAATTTAAAAGGTTCATTTCTGTCCCTACTGGAATCAAATTTGGTTCCATCAGTGAGGGTTCCTGTGTAGTGAACAGACACTTTGCATCCATGTGTAGGCAATTCATCACCAGCTCCTTCTTGAATAACCTCCTTCAATATCCCACCATCTTGTTTCAGAGAAATATCCATGCCTCCAGCAGCTTCCTATTTTAACGCAAAACCGAAAGCTAGAACTAGGCTTTGCAATGTGTAATAACTGCTTCGAAAAGTTCGACAGTTCCAATTGAAATTCGAAAAATACAACTACACTACAACACCAGTACACTGTACAGTACAACCAGTCAACTAGGCAGTCAACCACTGAACCGAACCACTACAGGCACTACATCTACAACCATAAACCAGTGTTGCCAGACAAGATTTTCATTTAGTACCAACCTATCAGAAAAAATGTACCACATTCACCTCAAATGACAAGCGTCTAGCTAGACCAGCGGATCTTCAAACTTCAAGGTCAAGTGACGTCACCCACAACACATGATATTTCTTCCTTCTTTATACTGAAAAACTACAGCTACAAGGAGTAAAGCGTCAATTTTTTTTCACTCAATTTATTTTTCAAATATATACTTTCCAGAAAGACGCTTCATTTAAGACAAGAAAAATTGGAAGTACCTTCCTTCTTCATGCAGGATAGATATGTCCCTTCCTCGGAGGTTTGAAAGATTTACTGGTCAAGCTAAACGCTTGTTCATAAAGGTACTTCTATTTGGATAATGGCGGGAAACGGTACATAGAATAAAAAAGAACCGACAATTCGTTTTTTTTTTCAATTGAAACGTAGTATATGGAAACTATAGGGTCCCCTCATGACTGTGCCTCATGCAAACTTACGTATTTGTCATTTAACAGGGTATCAGAGATAAGTAACTTATCTCTGAGGGTACGGACAGATCATAGCTCCTTTCTCGTTTGATCATCTAGTGACCTTGGTTTCGTGTATTGGCGTCCCTGACATGACATTGCTGTCACGTCACATTCATAGGCGTTGAAAGAGATCTTACAAAATTTTAATTTCATATTTGATCTTAATATACGACATTATTCAATTCTGTTCTGGAAAGATGGTGAAATGTGCTGTGTTAGGTTTTATCAATCAGTTGGATGGCAAATTTGAATTAGTCAGCTTTCCATCAAAAATGCAAATGAACTTAGAACACTGAAAGTGAAGTGACCGAATGGGGAAAATTAGTGAATACATCAGCAAAATATTCGAGGGAAAACTAATACGAAATCACATTTAATACTTTCTCATTGTGCCTATAATGATTCACTCCACAAGTTTTCGAATGCATTTTATTAGACACAGTTTTGATTAAAACGGTGGATCGAAGGAAGAGGCATATGCCCTACCATTTGAAAAATCATACCTACATACAGGAAAATTATAAGTGTTCGTAAAAAAAAACGGCAATAATAGTGATTCCCAACATGAATATATACAGCACACATGACATATGAGCACATTAATTTAAATACCTACATACAATTTTTTACTATTTCTCCACAATGAGGCTCAGTCTTGAGATCAAAATTCATTTATTGATAGGTACTGCCGAGAACAGTATCATTTGGTGAAACGGATCAAACTTTCATGGAAATTTGCTCACTACCTCACAAAGATTATGCTGAAGTTGGAAAATCAAAATCTCGAAAATTATCATTATCATTTGGATATAATATGTAGAGTTGAATGAGAAATTACATGTGAAAGTTACGTATGATACGTCAATGTCCTCATTATAACCTAAAACACAACAAATGTCAGCCGAGAAATGAATAAAAATGTGTTATAAGTAACATCCTGTAGATGGGTTGGATTACATGGATGACGAGGAGAGCGGAGATGTCAGGGTGACAGAATTGATATTTGTTGGGATTATTGAATTGTATGTATACAGTGTGTCCACCTTAAGGACTTACCACCCCTGTAAAATCGTTATTATCCGACCAATTTCAAAAAACCTTTTTTTGTTGGATAGGTATTTGAAATGCCCATCCAACGAGAGAGTGATCTAATTCTTGGACTGTTATCGTGGCCAACTGCGACAAATTTCAATGACCCATATTCCAGAAAGTACTATTAGGGATTTTTTTCCGCGAAACTTGATGATGGATTCTGAATCAGTACCACTTGAAATATACCTGTACCGATTTTCATCATCATAAAACACAGGGTGTCCGAAAAAACGAATCATCGTTTTCTTCAAATAGGTGATCAGCAAATGTAGTTCTGTGGTTTTTCTAGAAAGAAATAATCACAAATTATCATTGAGGATTATTTCAAATATACCTGTACCAATTTTCGTCTTTTGAATATACAATGTGTCTGAGAAAAAAATTAAAAAGGATAGGTAAGCAATATTTTTCATCCTGATAATTCTTCACTCAAAATAGAAAAATGAATCAGGATCACTTGGAACATACCTGTACCGATTTTCATCATCATTAAACACAGGGTGTTCGAAAAATCAAATTAATATTTTTTTTGAGTTCATGAAAAAATATTGGCTACTTTTCCTTTTTAATTATTTTCTCATACACATCGTATTTTTGAATGATGAAAATCGGTACAGATATGTTCAAAGTGATCCTCAATAATAATGCGTCATCAATTAAAAAAAAAAAACACAATACTACATTTTCTAATCACCTATTAAAAAAAAAAAAATTCGTTTTTTTGGACACCCTGTGTTTTATGATGATGAAAATCAGTAAAGGTGTTTTTCAAGTGATCGTGATTCAGAATCCATCATTGTTTTTTGTGAAAAAAATCCCTAATAGTACTTTCTCAAATATGGGTCAATAAAATTGGTCGCAGTTGGCCACGATTACAGTTCATGAGTAAAATCATTCTCTTGTTGGATAGACATTTCAAATACCTATCCAACAAAAAAAAGTTCTTTGAAATCGGTCAGATAATCACAATTTTACAGGGGTGGTAAGTCCTTAAGGTGGACACACTGTATAATCGAAATATATTTTTTCTACAAACGTCAAAAAATGACAAGGTTCGCGCATTGATTACAAATTGCGAAGTGACACTTTTTTTCAATTTCCTACGTTACCGTATGATACCTTGCACAAAACAATGCGCGAAGTAAAACAGTGCGCGAAGTACCTACTTCGCGCATTGTGACGTAAAATATATGAGATATTTATATTTCAACTTAATGGTCCTCAATCGAGCGAACATCCACGAATTTATTTCTGAATGTTCAACAATAACTTTGTTTTATCTCTTGCAGCGCACGGAAGGAAATTCCTATTATGTTCGTGGCACATCGTGTGTATACCTATAGGGAGGATTGGGGAAAGCCTTTTAAGCCAGTCAAACACTATTTTTTATATCAAGCTCAGCATATTTTCACTTCAGAACTGTATTTTTGACGTTTGTAGAAAACATTTTGTTTGCAACTCGAGCTCGAAATACTTTGGTCATCTCTACTATTTTTTTACTCGGCTACGCCTCGTTAAAAAAATTAGATCTGGATCACCAAAGTGGCATTTCGCGCTCTAGATACAAAAATAACTATTGAACGCCCACGAACGTTTTGCAGTTTATCGCAAAATATCACCGCAGGAACTGGAGAACCAGCGAATGTTAACATGAATATGTTGTTCCAATCTCGAATGTCCATGATGACCAAAATGTTAGAAATGATGGAAAATAACCGTATTGCTATGGAAAATACTAGAACAGCAAATGAAACACTTGTGCTGGAAAAAATTAATAAACGAATTGAACCTGAAAAATATCATATCATGCCAGATTTGAGTAAATCTATCGAATATTTTGATGGCGAATGTGACGGGAGTGCGAAAATTTGGTTGGAGAAACTAATAATTATACAGCAAAGTTACATTCTTGGCCGGAGGAATTCACTCTTGAGACAGCCAAGTCACATCTTACTGGATCTGCAATTTGTTGGTATAATGCTCATATAGATATAATGGATACATGAGAAATTTGCGCTATGCAAGAGTTTGAATTTCACACTGAACACCGAGAAAAACGGTCCAGGTACACAAGTACACTTGAGAAAAATTTAATACCCACAAAAATATTAATGAACTTTTGAACCATTACAATAGGTGAACATTTTTTTCTGATATCGACTTCCAGTGGCAGGTTAACTATGCTCCTGGAACAGGCCATCCTTCTTGTGCCTGATTAATTAAGATATGGTGTGCGCATTCGGCCATTATTACATATTGAAAATTTCAGAAAAATCACTCGATCGGCCTACTATGATTTCTCTACGTCAGAACGATCGAGACGTTGATTCTACATTTTCCCGCTAGATGGTGATGCTGCTATTGTTGCTGTGACGAGTGGAAATAAAATGGCAAATGCCATTTTAGGTACGTGGAACATATGTATCGGTGAAATAAAACGACTCTGAATTCGAAAAATCTGCGACAATTGCAAAACAGAAGTCATAATCGTGCAATGTCGCCATCTATTAGTAGATCAACGGAACCATTGCTCTCGCTGCTATCGAGAGGTCGAGTAAAATTTCTGAAACAAAAGCGCATCCGATTCCGCAACCGGAATCAGTTTGATGTGTCGTTTTATTCGCAACTTTTCCGATTCCGGTTGCTACTTTCCAATCCGTCTCACTACAAGTAACAAGGAATGATGTGGAATGACTGTAGACAGGTGTCAAAAAATCAAATATTAGATTGACGAAAAACGAACCTTTTTGAAAGTAAAAGACTTTTAGAAGACATTTTCAGCGTGAGTTTCACTAGTTCATGATTCTTTCAAGTAAAACAGGTTTCATATGTTCATTCCCAGATAAAATAAACTCTGTCGATCTCAGAGAAGTTTCTTCAATCACCACAATCACTGCTCCAAATATTAGTTGATTTATTTTCTAGATTCTTAACTTTAGTATTATGCTTTTTAAATCATTTGGATCTTCCATATACAAATATAACCTCTTATGTGAATTCTCTCAAGCAAGGTTCTGAAGTTTCTCGTTTTATTTGTAAACGTCATTCTGTTCCCACCACCGCTACCAGAATGGAATGAATAAAATGCAACTACCATATCTTACTTCCATCATTCTATATATACCTACTTATTGATAGGTCTTATAGGTATATCATCGAATAGCTATCTCCAGGCCTACAAAAACAGCACTGCATATCATAAACTATACCTACACCACACATTGTTGATCCTTATCCTTATGGATAGTCATTTGTCTTCAAAAATCGGCTTCATGTTTCGCTATGGAAACAGATAGAGATTATCCGTATTGATTATTAATACGTATATTACGGGTGTACGTTATCTCACGTTCCTTCACGTATACCTTAAATATCAACGTACGTTAACCAAACTATACTCGAAATATGCCGATGAGTCAAAATTATCAAATTCGAGATCACCAACGAGTTCTGCATCAAGGAGTCCTCTAATTTTGACAGAAATAAATGTTCGAATCTAAACACACAACCAAAAATGACCAATAAAAACCGAAAACAAAATGTATTATTACGTTATGATGACAGTGACGACCAAAGTGGCGACTTCAACTCAATTTAACGACAATACGTAAACGTTATTTTTCGTACGTTAACGTCTACGTGGAGGTCTACGTACAGTGATTACTTCAACTCTCTATCATGTCAAAGCCTATCCGTACGTATACGTACGTATAAATATGCCAAAGCTATCCGTACGTATACATCCGAATGTGTGCATTACATGCGGATAGTGTAAAGATACTTTATCCGTACGCCCACGTGCAAATAATTTCCAGTACGTAACGGTTTGTAAAATATTAGTAGCTGTGATCAATCACGTAATAGTATATTTGATGCATGTAATTATACAAATTCAAATTCTGAATATGTACAACATAATGATTAACACATGCAATTTGATAATAAGTTATACAGGGTGATTCAAAATTCGATGTAAATATTTCAAGGGCGTATTGTGGGGATCAAAATAAGACTTTTTCTTCAAATCAACATGTATCCTAAAATGCACCCCCTCCGAGCTACACTGTAAGGTGGGAAAAAAAACAAGATTATCTAAAACTGTGACTATAATAACGAATCGAATCTTCTGAAAATTGGCATACCCCTGTTTTTTTAGGCACTCTATTTTTTTTTGCTTCAAAAATTATGTAAACCCAGTTTTGGGGGAGTTGGAGGGGGGTCCACACTTTTATTGGCCCAATTTTTATGTTCAAAAAGAGAAACTCCGAATTCGAATAGCATAATCTTATTGGCCATAAAAAAACTAAGAATTCGGTGTCTTGCATTTTTGTCATACAACTAACCGTTTGCCAGAAAATCGTAATCAACGAAAGGGGGTATTTTCACAAACATTATGGTTTAAACGAAAATTAAAATAATCCCTGTATCCAAGTCAACAACTCCTTTGGTCAATCAAGCATAGAAATTGAAAATACATGGAGGACATTATTCAAGGACAAATCAATTATAGGGATTTACAAGCTGTAAAATATCGTTTACTTTACTCCCAGGAATTGTCGGCCACCCCCTATTCAAAATTAGGTAGGTAACAGGCAACTGTTTATAAATCCCTCTCATCACCTCGGTAATGTCATTAAACACTAATCATTGTTAGTTGTCAGATTTTAGCTGGTTGATTACACTTGTTATTGCGATCAAGAAATTTGTTTAAGTTAAAAATGGAAAATGTGCCATTCTCTTTCGCTCATCTTGCTGACATTCATTTTGTTTATGGTCTGGCTGATGGTAACGCATTGGAAGCCCAAAGATTATACGGAATTAGGTTTCCTCAACGCCGACTCCCCGATCATCGTACATTTACAAATTGTCATCGTCATCTCAGTGAATACGGCAAATTCCAAACTGTAAGAAATTATGCAGGCAGGCCACGAGAAATTCGCCACCCAGTAACAGAGGAACAAATTTTAAATATGATCGACGAAAATCCCCAGTTGAGTACTAGACAAATATCTTTAAATTTGGGTATTTCCCAATCAACTGTGTGGCGCGTTATGCACGAAAACAGCTTATATCCATATCACGTCCAACGTGTTCAAGGTTTGCTGCCACGGGATTTTCCGCGGCGTTTGCAGTTCGCTAGGTGGATATCCAGGAAGTGCACGAGGGATCTTAACTTTTTATCTCGGATCCTGTTCACCGACGAATCTCAGTTTACGCGAGATGGTGTGGTGAATTATCACAATGTACATGTTTGGGCACTGGAAAATCCGCATGAAATAAGGCAATCCCGCCATCAGGAACAGTTCAGTTTAAATGTATGGGCAGGAATTGTTGGAAATGAGCTTATTGGTCCTTTCTTTTATCCAAGAGTTTTAAATGGGGACACTTACCTAGATTTTTTGCAAAACGATTTGCCCGGTTTATTGGAAAATGTGCCTTTTAACATTCGTCTACGCATGTGGTTCATGCATGATGGTGCTCCCCCTCATTTCCGTTCAACAGTACGCCATCATTTGAATCTTATTTTTCCAAATCGTTGGATTGGTAGAGCTGGTCCAATAGCTTGGCCGCCACGTTCCCCGGATTGCACCCCATTAGACTTTTTTTTATGGGGATATGTGAAAAGTGCTGTTTATGATGCTGGGCCCGTGCATTCGGTTGAGGTCCTCCGTCAACGCATCATTGATGCTTTCCAAAACATAAGAACCACTCCTGGGATTTTAGAACGTGTTCGACGTTCTATGCAAAGAAGAATGGAAAGTTGTATAGCAGCAAGGGGAGGACATTTTCAACATTTATTATGAGATTAATAATTATTTAATTACCCAATAAAGTTAGTTTGATATTGTGAAAGTACCCCCCTTTCGTTGATTACGATTTTCTGGCAAACGGTTAGTTGTATGACAAAAATGCAAGACACCGAATTCTCAGTTTTTTTTATGGCCAATAAGATTATGCTATTCGAATTCATAGTTTCTCTTTTTGAACATAAAAATTGGGCCAATAAAAGTGTGGACCCCCCTCCAACTCCCCCAAAACTGGGTTTACATAATTTTTGGAGCAAAAAAAGAATAGAGTACCTAAAAAAACAGGGGTATGCCAATTTTCAGAAGATTCGATTCGTTATTATAGTCACAGTTTTAGATAATCTTGTTTTTTTTCCCACAACTTACAGGGGCTGTAGCTCGGAGGGGGTGCATTTTAGGACACATGTTGATTTGAAGAAAAAGTCTTATTTTGATCCCAACAATACGCCCTTGAAATATTTACATCGAATTTTGAATCACCCTATAACAATGTGTTAGGCACCCTTGTGCTAGAAATATAGGAAGAAGTTCCTACATTTATATAGGAAGAAGTTCCTACATTTACTCAGATCAATATGATCGACAAAACAATCGATCAAATTTGAATTGCTATAATGTTTTCATATCTTTACAAAAATTCCTGATATAAAAGTGAGATGAAAATAACACCTGATATAAAAGTGAACCATATACCACAGTACATTCAACATTGCCTAAACAATGTTGAACATATTCTAATCCCCAATCCCCACATAATTTTATGTTCAAAACAAACAATAAATCGGCGCGATTTTAGAGGAATTCTGTTAGTCAAGGACATTCTAAGTTCGGGTACGTTCGCCTCCTCCTCAGAAGGTGCTAGCCCTAGACTAAGCCTAGACTCTGGTCTGTGCTAGAGTCACTGGATGGTATTTAGTTTGATAAACTAATACCATACAGTGACTCTACTGACTCTGGTCTGTGCTAGTGTGCTGTGGCTGTTGGCAACACTGCATCTTGCATCTTTCGATCTTTTCGTTCCTTTCCGACTTTTGACAGCATTGAATTACAAAGCTTCAAGTATGTGTGAAAATTTTATCTAATTTTCTTTCAAGAATCCTTCATTAGATTGGGATCAAATATGAATATCCTTATACATTTGCGATTTTTTTATATATGCACTCTTATATTTTTGTGTTCACCAAATAAAAAAATTATAACCTCTCTTTTATGTTGGTCAAATCAATGATGTCAAATCCAAATGTACAATATTCATATCTTCTTTAACATGGCTGGGAAAGTCGGAATCTAATTATTCATATAGTCCCAAGTGAGTATTGATCGAGATTGTTAGTTCATTTCATTTTTGTTTCAGAATGTTGATGCCAAAAAAGAATAGAGTTGCTATCTTTGAGTACCTCTTCAAAGAGGGTGTTATGGTGGCCAAAAAGGATTACCATGCTCCCAAACACCCTGAATTGGAAACTATTCCTAACTTGCAAGTTATCAAAGCTCTTCAATCTTTGAAATCTAAAGGTTATGTCAAGGAACAGTTTGCCTGGAGACACTATTATTGGTGAGTTGAAACTTCCAAACATTTCCAGTCTTTGTCAGTTGATTATTTATAGTAATTTCTATGCCATACATTCAGTAATTTAGCTATGTAACCTTTGATTCATGTTCAGTGGTGAGAACTTTTTCAGTAATGAGTTTTTGCTTCTACCTACATTATGGTAGAGCTTGGCAATGATGATTCCATAAACCTGTACTTGGAGTATGTTAGACAATTTTTCAGGCTTTCCTAGAACCATTCAAATGTTGATTCTTATCAAAATTCATCCAAGTGACATGTGAAAAATATCATGATTTCAACATATTTCTTGGATATTTTTGTTATGATAAAAATTTACACTAACAGGCCTTTTCATCTAGATGATTGATGACTATTATCACTGTTGAGATCTATAAACCACCCCCAGTGGTTTGACTAATCACATTATCTTGAAAATTTCAAGTATATATCTTTAGGAGTCCTCCATAATTCGCCCTCTAATTTCTACACATAGAATTTAGCTACTTGAATGGAATATATTATGATTCATACATAAAATGTCAAGAAAAATTGTTGAAGATATGGTACATCTATTCTGAAAACAAGAATAAATAGTGCAATAATGAACACCCACACCATGCAAAACAAGAAGCAAAATATGTACAATGTGTCCAGTTTTCCATGCTTTTGTGCCAAATCTCAGTTATCCTTGAAGATAGAGTGTTGCAGTATGTACAGTGTGTCCAGTTTTCGATGCTTTTGCCTGATATCTCCTTTATTTTTGGAGATAGAACCTTGCGGTTTTCGCGGTCCTGTGCCACTTTTCTGTGAAACTCAAGATGGCCTTATCATATTTTGCAAGACTGTTTCCGTTTATGAGATACAGGTCGATTTTGAAAATTTATACTTTTTGGACCCCCTCTATATCCACAAAGTTTCTCAACGAAAATGTCAAATCAAAATCTTATCGCATAGAGAATTTCACGCATAAAGTGGTGCACTTAAATTTGGCATAGAGAATTTCACACATAAAGTGGTGCACTTGAATTTTTTTTTTGGGTATGGTTTTGGAGATATGACTCAAACTTGTGATTTTTTAAATGGAACACCTTGTATTTCATAAGCTCATTAAATCCTTATTTTTTTGTCTTCAAAATGATATATAACGAATGAATATAAAATTTTCAAAATTGCTCAAAATCACTAAAATATTGAATTTTGATAGTTGGTTATGGATTTTTCTTATGAAAAACGTTCCAATTGAAAGAATATTTCTTTAAATTTTTCCATGGAGAGGTCAAAACCAATATCAACACTTATTAATTAACAAAACACTAAACTTGGGTACCTAATAGCAACAAATAAATAGTAATAAAAAGTTAATAATTTAGAATAAGCACCTGATTAAATATTTACTAAAATAATTGAATTCCGGAATTATTCAGTAACTTATTCATTGACATGTTCGAATTAATATCCATTTTACTCAACATACAGTTGACAAACTTTCTCAATACTACTTAATACAGTGAATGGCCCAACATACTTGAAGAACTTAGTGCAACAACAGAGGCAGTTTTCCAGGAATTACAAAGACATCTTTCAATGATTAATATGTATTGAGAAAGTTTGTGATAAAAAATGGACATCAATTTGAACAATTCAATGAATAAATTACTGAACAATTTTGAAATTCAATTGTTTTAGTAAATATTCAATCAGGTGCTTATTCTACATTATAAACTTTTCATTACTATATATTTGTGGATATCAGGTATCTAAGTCTTGTGTATTGCAAGTTAATTAGTGTCGCAATTGTTATTTCACCCTTCATGGAACAATCAAAGGAAATATTCCTTCAATTGTAAATTTCTTTATATGAAAATCCCTGGAAAAACCCATAGCCCACTATTAAAATTCAATGTTTTAGTGATTTTTTAACATTTTTGAAGATGTTATATTCATACATCATATATCATTTCGAAGGGAAAAAAATAAGGAATTTAATGAGCCTATAAAATACAGGGTGTTCAATTTAAAAAATCATAAGTTTGAGTCGTATTTTCAAAACCACACCCCGAAATAAAAATTTTTGTGCGACACTGGATTCTGCATAAAATTCTCTATGGGTTGAAATTTTGATTTGACATTTTCGCTGATAAACTTCGTAGATATAGAGGGGGTCCAAAAAGTATAAATTTTCAAAATCGCCCTGTATCTCATAAACGGAAACAGTCCTGCGAAATCTGACTAGGCCATCTTGAGTTTAACAAAAAAGTGGCACAGGACCGCGAAAACTGCAAGGTTCTATCTCCAAAGATAACTGAGATATCATGCAAAAGCATCGAAAACTGGACACACTGTACATTACCACAGATTAACAAACCTTTGTTAATCTGTGACATTACTGTCTTGTAATGCAAACAGAATTTTCACAGTCCTTCATGTTTTTGAGATACAGGGCAAGTTGAAAATTCTCACTTTTTGAGCAACCCCATGCCTTGGTTACTTTTCAACTTATTGGCAGGATGAGAACTTGGCCTTGTATAATTTTCTAGGTTTAATACAGTGGCGTACACTTCTTATTTCTCTATCTGTTCATTATTAGAAAATGGAGCCCAAATAGTTGAAAAAAAAAAGTAAACTATTATATATTTTTGATGAGCTATGAGTGATTACATCAGAAATAAAATGAGTACTCCACTATATTATAGGTAGGAACTTATCTAAGGCCCATTCTCATCCTGACTGAGATATGGGACTGAAAATTCCAATTGCAGCATTCAATTGCAAAAGTAAGGTAGAAATGTGAAAACCACAACCAGCATTGCCACAGCTCGCTCTATTGAGCTTATAGAGCACAATATGAATGTATATTTGATCCAAGTTCAGTTATACCTGCAAAGATTGCCTGATTCAAGCAATACATTTAGTGTGGATTTATGCAGCATCAATTTACTATCAATTAACAATTTTCAAGTAAGGAGTAGCTAAAATGTCATCATTCATGCAAACTAAATTAACAATTGAAAATAAAAAATATGCAATGTCCTTTCCAAGCCATTCAATATAACCATACACAATTTTTTCATAATATATTAAACATTTTTGGGATGTTGCTATCACAAGTGGGGCAACAACTAAAAAAAATAGGGATAATGAAAAGTAGAGAGAAAAAAAAATAACAGGAAATGTTTTGAGGTTAGTTGGATGGACCAATCCTTGGTCATCAACTAGGTCATCTGAATACTAGTTGTGCAAAATAAGAAAAGAAATAGTTCAATTAATGTAAAAAATTGAAAGTTGACCAACCTTCTACTTGTTATTCAATAATTGTTATTTGTCTGCATAAACTCAGTTATTGAAAATGATGAAATGGGATGAATAATAGTTTGTATTTTCCAAAAAAAATTAAGCACTTCCCAAATTTTGTTGGCTAACCTTCATTCCATGCTGGCTGCTTCATGTTTCATTTTCATTTTCCCAAAAGTGTTCTATTTGATGGAAATTCAAGTAAATTTAATTGATTCCTAATATTTTTGTAGTAACAACAGCACAAACTTGCATCTTATTATATACCCAATTTGTTCTCAGTTTGATAAAACCTTTGAAATCAATGTCATGTAAGTATGTTCAGTACTATTAGTTCCCGGTTTTTTCATCTATTTATTTGTGGTTATGTTGGACTGTCAGTCCTTGTCAGGGTGTATGTACTTCAAATTTACAACAATGTCAAAGATAGTATCAAGTTCATTGGGGTTTTGGGCAGGGGTGGCCAACACCTCCATCATAAAGCGATTTTTGGTTTTTTCAAGGAAAAATAGTCTATCATACCAGGTGAGTGAATTTCCAGTAGATGCATGGGGATCTCAGAAACGGTGAGAGCTACAGAGAGGGTTGAATAGAGGCAAAGTTGCATATTAGGGAGCTCATTACTATAATGTTGAAAAATCTGAGCTAGCCCTCTCACTTTCAGAGATATACAGGAAAGAACGAAAATTTTGATTTTTGTTTTTCCTTTATATTTGCTTTATACGAATAGATTTCCAGAAACTGTTTGCACTTTGTCATTGCAACTTCCAATGGGCTATGAAAATATGTAATTGAAAGTGTTCTACAGGGTGTTGCTTTCCTTGGGTCACTCCTAACTATGAATTATCAAATACGGACTTGGATATTTTATTACGGATTTAAGGAGCTTTTGATCTCCTAAAATCAACAGTGCATCGCACTTATTGGAAAAATTCATATTCATTGCATTTTCCATAAGAACTCATTTGAAACCAAACACCTTTTTCCAACAAGTGCCATACAAAGTTGATTTTAGAAGCTCTCAAAATCCATAATAAATATCGAGATCCGCATCTGAAATTTCATAGTTAGTGGTAGTGGTGGTGGTGGTGGTGGAACACTTTCTTTCACATATTTTGATAGCCTAATGAAAGTTGCAATGACGAGGTGCAAACAGTATACTATACTCTTTAGCTCTTGAAGTTTCCGAGATCCCCATGCATCTACACGGAATTTCACTCACCAGGTATATATGAAGAAGTTGACCACCCCTGCAGTCTAGTGTACATCATCATCTTCATGACGCATTTCATGTGGAGGAATTCAGAGAACATGGTTCACAGTTGTGTGATTCTAGAAACAGCAATTTTGTCATTAGAAATAGGCGGTTTTAGGAGGTGAAGTTCAAATGCAGTTGGAAAAAGGAATGATGTATCAATTGATTTATCAATATGGCATAAGTGGAGAATTCATGCCCAATAAAATTGATGCATAACTTTACTTAGTCCTTACTTATGTATTAGAGAAGGTGATTGGTGGATTCAGAATTTATATCTGAAATTTACCAATTATAACTGAATATTCTCAGTTTAAGACTAAGTTGAGTCATGCATGAATTCACCATAAGTATTCATGCTGGATATGGAGCATACATTCACCAAGAAAAAGTTTCACTCACCTTTACTTGGAACAACTTATGACATCATTGAAAAAGTGGATTGTAAAGGATGAAT